CAGGGCACAGTGTCCTGTGCTGCCAAGGCTTCATCCTGGGCTTAGGTGGCACAGAGGACACAAAATCCTCGTCATTGCAACATTCTGGGCTGGCATCCTGCTTTGCATCACTCCTGCTCTGTCCTCACCCTCACCTGAACCAGGAGGGACACCAGGACACCAGGTAGCAGAGAACAGGAGTTGGTACCTGTCCAGAGAAACACCTCCAGGAGCTTCTCCAAGGTGAAGCAACCTGGGGCAGGCGGGAGTGCTGCTGCCACCCCCTTCCTGCAGGACAGGTCACCTCCTCACCTTCTCCCAGCCCAAATTCCAAACCCCCACAGATGGGGAAGGTGCGGCTCCCTCCCAGCCCTCCCAAATTCCAAACCCTGCCAGCTGCTGGGAGTGCTGCCTCGGGGGCACAGGAGTGCTGCCAGCCCAAACAGAGAAGCAGGTGGGTTTGAAACCCCTGTCTGCAGATCCTGGTGGGAGAGGGGAAAACCAGAGAGTGCTGAGCACCCACAGCCTCCTCCCCTGCCAGGGCTCAAAGCACTGGAATAATAAATAAAATAGTAAATAATTAAAATTAAAATGAAAATGAAAAAAGATAAGAATAAAAATAAAGATAAAAATAAAGATAAAAGTAAAAATAAAAATAAAAGTAAAAATAAAAATAAAAATAAAAATAAATTAAATAATAAATAATAATAAATTAAGGAAGTTTTTGTCCACACTGTGTTTCCTCCCTGCTCCTCGAGGTGTTGGTTTTCTTTAATAAGCCCTGAAGGATTCACTGGGAAAATGCTAGGAAATATGTGAGAAATGGCTTTAAGCAAGGACACTTGACTACAGCATGAATCCCATAAATCCTCTTTATTTTAACATGTCAGTCAGTAGGACCTGCAGTAAATACTTGGAGTTTTGAACATACAGATCTTCATCTCTGTACTTATCTGGCACAGCAAACCCTTTCCATTTCCTTGTTTATGTAAGCTCTGAGTATTGCTGTATAGAGATAATGGATATACACACAGACACATATCTGTATGTGCACTTGTGCAAAAATGTCCTTACCAAGGACAGGAAACAAGTGAATATTTCCCAATCCACTCTCCCTGGCACTGGAAATATTGCACAGAAATTCAGCTGGATGCTCCTGCCATAGGGAAAATGGCAAAGCTGAAATTGCATGCATGGAGAAGCAGCAAATACACTTTTTTTCATGATGGAGAAAGTTTAAAAAATCTTAGTGTCCCCTTTGTGTCTCCTCCTCTGTGGCAGTGGCACAGCAACACCTGGGGTTGTGTCCCCTCTGTGTCCCCTCCTCTGTGGCAGTGGCGCAGGGTACAGCCAGCAGCACAGTGTTTGCTTCAGCCTGCTCTGTTTGCTGGAAGAATTTAATGTTTGTCACTAATTTCCCTTAAATGAAGTCACCACCATGTGTTTTATCAGATGTGCTTAACCTGAGCCAACTCTGCCAGTGTAAAATCCTAAAATCCAATTTAAACAGCGACTCCTGACTCCAATGCTCCATTTTTTTAATATGTCTATGAAACTTTTTAATATAAAATATTTTAACAGGGCTAAGTTGTTTGGTTTTTTTTTCCCCAGCCATGGAAAGGTTTGGCTTTGATGATGCCATAATATTTTTCCCTCCACTATTTCTCTCTTTTGATTCCAGCTGCCCCCAGAACTTCACAGTTTATATTTCACCAGTTTTACTAATGTTGCCTTAGAGAAAAGAAATCAGTTCCTCAACACCCAGACTCCCATACAAGCTTGAGGTTTCCTGGCAGCCCCGAGGTCATTTGTCCAGTGCAAACAGCCCAAAATTCCCTGTCCCTTCCACAGCCACGTGCTCTGGGTGCTGGAGTGCTTCTGCAAATAAACACTCGCTCATCTCTCAGCTTTGGCTACCCACAATATTTGAAGTAAGAAGAGGAAGCCAAAAAAAAGAGAGCAATTATTTGGACAACAAATAATGGGGATTATTTGTTGCTCCGCCAGTGCTACCGAAATGCAAATAATTCATCACAGTGAAAACACAAACCACAACAGAGATGTGGGAATGGGAATTCCCTGTGCCACAGGGTCCTGGCTCCAACTGGGGAGGTTGGAGCCTGCTGGGGCTGGCCTGACCCCCAGCACTGTGGGACACCTCAGTGCCTCTGTGCCCCCTCAAACCCACGGTGCCCTGGGCATTGCAGAGCAGCAGGGACTGGCAGCAGATAAAGTGATAGAGGAGATAAAGCAGGGCACAGATATTGATCTCTGCAATCAAGAGGTTAATTCTCATTTCCCTGAGTGCTGTTTGGTAATCACAGCCTGCACGGAGCGAAATTGCATCTGCAGCCACAGAGTGAGTGCCTACACTGAGTGCCTACACAGAGTGTGCACCGGCACCAAGTGTTTACCTGCACCAAATGTGTGCCTGCACTGAGTGTGTACCTACACTGAGTGTGTATCTGCACCAAGTGTGTTTCTACACTGAATCCATTCTTAGATTGTCTGTGCTCCTACGCTGTGTTCCTACACCCTGTACCTGCACCAAGTGTGCACCTGCACTGAGTGTGTACCTGCACCGAGTGTGATTCCACACCAAGTGTGTTCCTACACCGTGTACCTGCACTGTGTTCCTACACTGAGTGTGCACCTACACTGAGTGTTTTCCTACACCAAGTGTTTTCCTGCATCAATTGTACTCCTACACTGGGTGTGTACCTGCACTGAGTATGCACCTACACCGTGTGCACCTACACTGAGTATGTTCCTACACCGAGTGTGACCTGCACCGAGTGTTCCTACACCAGCTCCCCAGCCCGGCACATTCTCTGAGCCCCCTCTCAGTGCAAATGCAGCCTCTGAGCTCTCTCTCCGTGCCAGTGCAGCACGGAGTGAGCAGTGCCCGACTGCCAGCCCTGCTCCAGCCCTTCCAGCCCTCTCCTGCCCTTCTCCTGTCCGTGTTTATCCCAGGGGCTGCCCCGCAGCCTCTCACGCCACAGAGTGTCACCGTGTCACCGCACCCTTCCTTGGCACTCCGAGCACCTGGGGCACGGCTGGCACCGCTCCCCGGGCAGCAGTGAGGGCACGGGCGGGCACAGGGCAGGGAAGGGCTCCGGGCACATCCCCTGTCCCTGCTGCGGTGCTGGGATGCGCAGGGGACAAAAGGAGCCCGGTCAGTCACAGGGCTTGGGGAGCACGGGGCTCTCGGAGCTGCTCCTCCTCCCCAGGCAGGATCAGCAGCACTTTGGGAAGGAGGAAAAGGAGCAGCACGAGTTCCCAGAGCGCTGCGTTTTGCCCTGAGAGCTCGAGCAGTTTGTCGCCGCACCTGGAGCAGCAATGTCCCCTCCCGGCCGGGGATTCCCCCCAGCCCTGCCGGCGCCAGCGCTCGGGGCGAGCCCTCAGAGCAGCCAGGGACTGCCGGGGGTGTCGGTCCCACAAACCCCGATCTACCCCCGGCTCCTGCGGGACGGGCACGGCTGCCCCAAAGCCGCTCTGCCTCCGCCTGCACCGAGACTCAGCCCCGGGTGGACACTCGCCACCCACACAGGTCTCCGGGACACCCAGCGAGCCCCGCACCCCCAAACTGACCACAGCGACAACGACAATGCCACCAACACCCCCGTGGTGCGACAATGCCACCAACATCCCCAGCGCGTGGAAATGCGGGGGGTCCGCATGCCCGAGCATCCCCCGGGACACCGCGGCCCGAGAGGTCCCGGCAGCAGCTTTTCCTGCCCCTTTCCCGAGAATTCCTGAAAGAACCTGGCACTGCACACCCTCCTGGCACTGCACACCCTCCCTGCCCCGGGTCCAGCGTGTCACACCGGGATGAGCCCCCAGCCCAAATCGCTGTTCCTTTCCAGTCAGGGACTGTCCTGTCCTATCCTGTCCTATCCTATCCTATCCTATCCTATCCTATCCTATCCTATCCTATCCTATCCTATCCTATCCGTTCCTATCCTATCCTATTCTATCCTATCCTATCCTATCCTATCCTATCCTATCCTATCCTATCCGTTCCTATCCTATCCGTTCCTGTCCCGCAGCCCACCCTGCCCGGGCACCCCTGGCAGAGCCTGGCACACGGGACAAACCCCTCTCCACACCAACCCCAGGGTCCTGCAGCCGTGCCGCGGTCGGAGCGGCGTTTCCAGGGTGCCCCGGACAATCCGAGCCTGGTCCCGTCCCAGCTGCCCCGGCTCGCTGTCATCCGAGCCCTGCAGTTAAACAAACCGGGCGCTTTACGAGCTTTTGGCTGGGCTGTGACTGCAGCCGCGTGTCACCCGACTTCCCAGTGCCACATTCCTGAGCCCCACAGTCACAGGCTCACATTCTAGGCAGACGCTCCGTTTATTTCTATCATTATTTTTTTTTTCCTCCAGAAAGTCCTGTAGCACTTGGCAAAGCAAAACCCCCCAGAGCATTCGCAATTTCTGGGCTGTGATCAAACTGTCCCAGAGCCGGCAGCCCCGATCTGCCCCGCTGCCTGCATCCCTTCCCCGCCGCTTTGTCGCAGACCAAATCCAGGGGTTTTGCCATCTCCGCAAAGTGCCCCGGGCTGGACAATCGTGCCACCGCCGCCTCAGGTGCCCTCCTGGCCTGGAGGGCTCCCAGAGCCACCAGCGGGGTGGTGACAAGGGGACAGGCAGCAGTCACACCGGGGCAGGGGGGTCCTGCTCCCATCAAGGTCATGAGGTAGCTCAGTCCCAGGACAGTTCAGTCCTGGCCACAGCCAGAAAGTCCCCCCGGGGATGAACATTCTGCACAGCCTGGCATCCCCTTCCCTGCTAAGAGACCCCCAGACTGTTCCCCATACCTGGGGGGCTGCCAGCAGCCCCTCCACTCTGCCAGGGCCAGCCCCACTTTGCAGAGTTTGGGGTTTCTCCCAGCTGTTAGGTTTTAGTCGCTCTCTAAAAAAGAATCACTATTATTATGAAAGGAGGGTGATTTTCCTTGCAAAATCTCCTCTGTGCCACCCCCTCCCGAGCCCCCAGCACCCTCCCCGGTGGGCACAGTACCTTTGCCATGCAAAAAGTGCTCGGGGCGAGGGAAGGAGCCCTCCTCGCAGAGCAGCTCGCAGGTTTTATCCGGGGCCAGGGGGTAGCCGTTGTCCTCCTCGTTGTAGTCACTGCGGCCGTTGCTGTTGGAGTAGCCGTTGGCGTACATCTTGAGGGCGGACCTGCGCAGGCACAGCAGCTCCTGGAACGCGTACCTGAAGTCGGGGCTCCGGCAGTAGATCAGGGGGTTGAAGGCGGAGTTGACGTAGCCCAGCCAGTTCAAGAGGATGTACAGGTACTTGGGAATGACGTTGTCCTGGATGACGTGCACGATGTTGACGATGAAGAAGGGCAGCCAGCACAGCGTGAAGGTGCCCATGATGATGCCCAAGGTTTTGAGGGCCTTGTGCTCCTTCAAGAAGAACTTGGAGGAGCGGCGGTGCCCGGCTCCTCCTTTCTGCTCCTGCTCCTTGTTCTGGGTGTGGAACCTCCCCTCGCTCCTGTCGATCTTCTGCAGCTGCTTCTTGGCCACCTGGAAGACCCTGGCGTACACGAAGACCATGACCACGAGGGGCACGTAGAAGGAGATGATGGAGGAGGCGATGGCGTAGGCTTGGTTGGTGAAGAAGTCGCAGCACATCTCGTCCTGGTAGCAGCGGATGGCGTCCTCGTGGTCTGCCCGGTACCAGTGCATCTGGATGGGCAGGAAGGAGGTCAGGCCCGACACCACCCACACCACCAGGATGACCACACGTGCCTTGCCCTTGGTCAGCTGGCTCTGGTACTTGAACGGGGAGGTGATGGCGAAGTACCGGTCCACGGCGATGACACACAGGGTCTCGATGCTGGCCGTGACGCACAGCACGTCCAGAGAGGTCCAGAACTCGCACCAGAAGTTCCCAAACTTCCACATCTCCATGATGATGTGGCAGGCGCCGAAGGGCACCACGGCCAGCCCCATGACCAGGTCGGCACAGGCCAGCGAGGTGATGAAGTAGTTGGTGACGGTCTGCAGGCGCTGGAAGCGGGCGATGGCCGTGATCACCAGCACGTTGCCGAAGACGATGGCCAGCACGATCAGCGACATCAGGATGCCCATGCCCACCATCCACACGTCCCGCGACACCGTGGGCTCGGCGGCGCTCTGGTTGGCGCTGGCGTTGCCGCCGGGCAGCTCCGTCCCCGCCGCTGCCATGGCCCGGCCACAGCCCCGGGTCGGCGGGGGCGGCTCGGCTGCGCTCAGGGCTCCGCTCGGGGCTCCGCTCAGGGCTCCGCGGCCGCGGCGCCGCTCCGGGAGCCGCTCATACGGGACAGGTGCGGGGCCGCTCGGCTGGGGCACCGGGCACCGCTCCGCTCCCGTCCCGGCCGCGTCCCGGCTCTGTCCCAGCCCGTGTCCCAGCCCGTTAGGCGCCGCGGAGCTTTTTAAGTGACAGCAGCCCGTGACATCAGCCGGGCGCAGCCAATGGCAGCCGGCACCGCGCCCCGACCCCCCCGCACCCCGCGGCCACCCCCGCCTGCCCCACGCGTGTCCCCGCCCCGTGCGCCGCATCCCCGCCGTGTCCCCGCAGCCGCCCCGGGTGCGCTCCCGTTCCTGGCCGTGCTCTCCTGTCCCCGGCCCCAGAGTGACAGGAGATCACGCTGTGTGCTCCGCTTCCCCGCCGTGTCCCCGCAGCCGCTCCGGGTGCGCTCCTCTTCCTCTCGGTGCTCTCCTGTCCCCAGCCCCAGAGTGTCCCTGTGCGCTCCTTTCAGTGCTGTGTCCCCGCAACCGCTCCGTGTGTGCTCCCCTTCCTCCTGTCCCCTGCCCCAGGGTGACAGGAGTTCACCCTGTGCGCTCCTTTCACTGCCGAGTCCCCGCAGCCGCTCCGTGTGTGCTCCCTGTTCCTCTCCGTTCTCTCCTGTCCCCCGCCCCAGGGTGTCCCCCCAGCCGCTCAGTGTGTGCCCCCTGTTCCTGTCGGTGCTCTCCTGTCCCCCGCCTCACGGTGTCCCCGTGTGCTCCTTTCCCCTCCGTGTCCCCGTGCCTCCTGCCCGCAGCGTCACCGGTGTCCCCACGTTCCCCGCCCCCAGGCGTCCCCACCCCACCCGTGCCCCCTGTGTGCTCATAGCACGCACAGCACCAGGAAAATCCCGATTGCTCTGGGGCTCCTGGCACTGAGGACCCCTGGCACCCCATCGTTGTTGGTGGCACCTCGTGACAGGATGCCACCCGGGTCCCCATCCCTCCCAGTCCCCAGCTCGGTGCTCTGGCTGCACCCCAGTTGTTTAGGCATCCAAGTGGAGCAGCCACAGAAATCCCAGAGCTGGTCAAGGGTAGGGACACCCCCTAACTGTCCTGGGGGCACTGACCAGGCAGGGACTGACCACTGGACCACTGGACACTGTGGCCAGCCAGCCAGCGGTCAGAGCCAGACAGTATCACAACATTCCCCTCCAAAACAAACAAAGTGGCTAAATAAGGGCTAAGGAATCCTGGAAACTTCCTCTCAGCCTGACAGGAGATAACCCTGCCCCTGGAGTTTCATTTCTGCCATCCCTCTGAGCAGCACTGCCCTCCAGACACACATCTCACTGCTGGCCCTGGCTGCTTCAGAGGTGACAGCTGAAAGCTGTGGTTCTAAAACTGCCCTGTGCCACAGAAAGGGAGAAAATAAAGAATTGTGTCCCCCCAGATTACCCCAGTGCCCCCAGCAGCAGCTGCAGGTCAGTCCTGGCTGGATGCAGCTCTGTGACCCTCCCTCAGCACAGGCACTGCCAGACTCCTGCCTTTGTCAGCAATTAAACCCTTATCAATGGTGAATCTTATCTGAAACTCATCAGCTCTTGTGCTCTGATGCATTTTCGTGTTTCTGCCTCATTTTTCCTGCAGTTCTGGGGTGCCAGGGCCAGGCTCCCCCCTTTTTGCTGCCTTTGCCCCTGTGCCCCACACCACAGCCTGCTGGGTGCCCATGCCATGCCCCAGCTGTGCTGGGGATATTTTATTTATGGGGAAAGGAGGAAGTTTTGTGGTTTAAAGCAGAGGGGCAGATGAGGTACTGGAATCAGGAAATGAGATTAAAGGCAGTTAGGAAGTGGCTGTCCTGCCCTGAACCAGTGGCTTCCCTGCCCTTCCCACACTCCAACTCTGCACCCACACACTTCAGAGGTTTGAAAATGAAGATACAAGGAACAGAAGATCCAGAATCGCCCCCACAATCAGAAATTGTGGGAACTGCACCTCATCCTCAGCTCCCTGTTCCCCCTTTATTGGTAAGAGCCGATGTGGCAGCTCTAGGAAGCACTCCAGGTGTCAGACAGAGACCAGGTGGGTTTGCTGGGCTGTTCCTGAGAGTTTTGACTCCAAATCCAAGCATTCCTAAAGAATTAAGTCCCCTATCCTAATAAACATACAGATGTTCATCCCACAGATGTTCAGCCTTGCAGGCAGCGCTGGGCCCTGGCAGGAGCAGCAGCAGATTTGGGGATGTGGTGGGAGAGAGACACAAAGGCTTCAACAAACTCTTGTTTAAAAGCAGAGTTCTCTGCTTTGCAGCCAGTGTTTGAGCCAAGGCAGCCCTGTCTCTGGCAATCCCCCTCCAGAGGCAGCTCAGGGCTCTGTAAATCTGTGCCCAGGGTGCAGGGATCAGTTTCCAGCCCAGTTTCCAGCTCAATATTTTGAGTTTGTTGTGCTCTGTTCAAAGAAATCTCAGCCTGGGCTCTGGTCAAGAGGCTGTGCTAGAGGAAGCAGGGCAAGGCTGATTTTTGTTCTTTGGTTTTCTCCCTTGGTTCCCTCTTTGGCAATCTTTGCTCACCTTTTAGGGTGGCCACAGGCCTTGATATGATTTTTGTCTTTGAGTCCCTCAGTGAGTTGGACACAGGAACAGAAAAAAGGCAGGAATTTGTCTGACATAAAAATAAATTCCATCACCCCAAGTCCCACTGGCTTTTGAGGTTTGCATGACTTCACCTGTGCTTTTGAGTAATTATTAATTTCCATCAGGTTCAAGGCTTCATATTGGAACAAATGCAGCACCAAACCTCAGAGATGTTCTGAACACAGTTCAGTTTGAATTTTTTGGGGGAAAGAGCCCCAAAATGCCTCCTTCTGGGTTCCCTCACTTTAGGGTGTCAAACCAGACAGATCCCACTTGTTTCATGGCCCACTGGCCCTGGTGCTTTGTCATCACGCTGATCTTTTCCCTTTTCATAATTGGATGTGTTCTCCCTCCTCACTGAGTGACATTTGAAGAGCAGCCTGTGGGATCAATGAGAAAGCAAGGCTGGCAGAGAGAAATAATCACTTTTATCAGCCCAACTGACATAATTGGAATAAACAGCCGGGCTTTGGGCATGGAAGGCTTTGCTGAGGACAGTGAGGAGCTGCGTGCTGTGTGCCTGCCCAGATGTTTATCACAAACTGCAATGGAGTGGCCTGCCCAGATCAGGCTCTTTTATCCATAGCCTATCGTAACTATTATAATTACCACATTCATGTTGCTGTTCTCCAATCACTAAAAGTCAGTACATCACAGTTTAAGCTAGAAGTTGTGTTTCAGTTTTCTTGCAGTGGAAAATTCTGAGACCTTTTTTTTACTTGCAACTTTTGCTGACTTGTTTGCCTGTGCTATCTTTCTGCTTGGTTAAAACATCTTCTTGTTTGAGGTGGGTTTATGCTTTGCTCTAAGCCATAAAAACTTTTTCTAACTATCATATCTTTTCTAACTATCATACTTTTTCGAACTATCATACTTTTTGCTTCTTTGCTTATCCAGTAAGACTGGCTCAGCAATTCTTCTTTTATATCAAAACTTGCTTCTATCTCTATTCTTTCTTCATATTCTGTTGCGGTGTGTCTTGAGCTTCCCGGTCCCTTTCCCAGGTGTGCCTATACCTCTCTCCCTTCCCCCTTGCCCCCATGCTGAGTTAGTCCTGTCAATCAGGCTCAACATTCCAGCGAGGTGTCCTGTGGTTGGTCAAGTTCAAAAGATGCCCCTATGCCCAGGGGTCATTGGCCAGTCTGGGTGTCGTCCCCCCCCTGAGACCCAGCCCCCCTCACCTGGTTGGGTGGCTCACCTGTACCTCCCCTCCCCCTGCCCCGGGAGATTAAAAGGTGATCAGGCCATGTGCTCGTGCATTCTGCTGGAGCAGCTGCTCCCGTCCAGACCTCTGTAACCATGGAATAAACTTCTGGACATTAAACCTTCCAGCGGAATCCTCTCCTTTTTCTCTTCACCATCGCCAGAAGCTCTCTCTCCTGAGGTAAACGGAGTTCCTGACAAGCCTGGACTTGCTCAGTGCCCAGCTGCAATCTCCAGCAGCCAAGGTATCTCTGGGGTGATTTACACCACAGTTGCTGCCTTTGGCCCAGCAGCGAGGGTCAGACTGGCCCAGGCACCATCTAACTGATAATATTGGGATTCATATTCCAATAATATTCTACACTTAAAAATCTTTCTGCTAAATATACATATCTGTGAGACTTTCTTGTCAGACTTTTATCTTTCCTAACAGCCAGCTTTTAACCCCTGCAGTGCCAGCACTCGCAGGGGAACAATTGCTGTGTTTCAGAGCAGACCAAGGCAAAGGAAATGGTTGGACACAATGAGCCTGGTGCAAAGTGAGGCTTTGTGTGGAACCTGACCCTGCTGGAGCACTGAGCACCCGGGATTCATTGTCTCTGAGCTGCTCAGCCATCAGTCAGCGCTGCTGTGGCTGCAGGTGACAGAGTGACACAAGTGAGGGCAGCAGAGGAAACCGGGGTGGGGAGAGCAGGGCAGCGACAGCCGCAGATAAAAGATGCTTATCAGCGCCTTTTCTTCCCCCTGCTGCTTTTCCCACAGCTGAGCCTGGTTTCCAGGGCACAGGAGATGCTGTGTCCAAGCCACCCCTCCCTAACTCTGGGCAGGTCCCTTCAGTGCCCCCTGAGCCCTGCTGGTGCCAGCAGTGTCCCTTGTCTGTCCCCACCAGTGTCACTTGTCTGTCCCCAGCGATGTCCCTTGTCTGTCCCCACCAGTGTCACTTGTGCTGTCCCCAGCGATGTCCCTTGTCTGTCCCCAGCAGTGTCACTTGTCTGTCCCCAGATCTGCTGTCCTGGCAGGCTGTGAGCCTGCACAAGGGGAATTTGACACACCTGGGGGGTTTTGGGGTGGTTTCTGCTCCATCACCAGCTCGGAGGGTACCGCAGCCAGGTGTGGTGGGGTCACCTTAATGCAGCCATAAATT